GTTGCCGGGCGGCGACGCGGGCGACTTTCTTCACGGCTCGTCCCTGCCGGCGTGTGACGTCACTGGTGTCCGCTGCCGTGACGGTCACGGGCTGGCGGCGGAGTATCGCCACCCGGGGCCCGGAAGGGCTTCACGTCGGCGCGTGCGCTGGAGGATGGAACGGCGGCCGTTTGGAATCTGCGTGAGGTGACCGGAATGTGCCGGCGTGTTCGTCTCCACGCCGGCTGAACTGATATCGGACTGGAGAGACACGTTTGGCTGATCGGGGCTCAGATTTCAAGGGACCTTCACTGGGCCGACTGCCCTGGAATCAAGACTTCGACTGACACGCACCAGGCCGACTAGGCTGGAATCAAGGCTTCGACTGACACGCACCAGGCCGACTAGGCTGGAATCAAGACTTCGACTGACCCGCACCAGGCCGACTAGGCTGGAATCAAGACTTGGAATGACCTGTACCAGGCCGACTGCCCTGAAATCAAGACTTCGACTGACCCGCACCAGGCCGACTAGGCTGGAATAAAGACTTGGAATGACCTGTTCCAGGCCGACTGCCCTGAAATCAAGACTTCGACTGACCTGCACCAAGCCGGCTACGCTGGAATCAAGACTTGACCCGCACTGCACCGACTTTCCGGGAATTTCAATGGATCGGAAAGGCGCTGACATAGCGTGTCCAACAAACTGACATCCATTGAGCTGGAGCTATACAGCGCCCGTGCGGATCACCGCGCGTTCACACTAGAGATCTCCTTGACTGCCCGCGGACTATGCTTTTTTGTGTCTGTGGGTCGACCAGCTTCTCTCTGCGACGTCCCATTCCAGCTTAGTGAACACAACGTGCGCCTTCAGCGGTGAGCGGTCGCTGGGACGCCGGGCTCGCCTGCTGCCGTTGAACCCGCTAAGATGTCTGTCCGTGAGACAAAGTACACGGATGTCGGGTTGTCCCGAGCTCTAAGGCCGGGAGATGAACCGATGGCACATTCACCCATACCACCACATAAAATTTATATCGCATTAATATGTATGCGAATACGTGTCGACAGGTAGATCGAGGCAGACGTGTAAACCTGTGCATTAAAAGGTGTGATGTTGCCATACGCCATGCAAACAAATTTCCCCTCCGTGGCGGGCTAGGATGGTTTCTCAATGGAAATTGTTGGGACCTGCGCCCCCTCCCTATTTGCAAAGTCCATTATGCGCGCTGCCGAATGCGAACCAGGCCCGAAGCGGCAGCCGCGCGCCTGGCCGCTGGCGGGCCACCTCGACCTTGGTTGATCGCCCTCTCGCTCCTCGGGGGACCGGCTGACACCCGCAGCCCTGTACCGAGTGGCTGGCCGTGCCTCGGCGGCAGCACTCTCCCGGTGAAAAGGAACAGATGGGGGTCACGTGCTGGGCACATGTTCCAGCCCATCGCTGTTATTATTGAAGATGTCCGGCGGCGTTTTTCGCTGCTGGAGCCTGCCCCAGTTAACCGCGGGCGCGTCTTCAGCGGCCGAGCGAGACCGCAACGCGTAATTTCGCGAGTCCGGGCAGCGCCGCAGCCAACACACAGCTGGCTCATGCCCGCGAAAGCCGCGGAGCCGCGGCGCATGCACTGCGGAGGCTCCAGACTGCGGGGGCTGTCATTGGGGGAGTGGTCGGTGGGTCCTGCGCCGCGTGTAGCTGGCTCGTCAGTTCCGCGCGGCTCACGGCCATGGGAGCTGTGAATTTTAATACGATCGCGCCCAACATGGCCTCCGGATCTGGGCAGATGCGATAGTGGTGCCGTGAATGGCTAGACTTAGGTCCGATAGATGTGCCAGAGATCGTTGTGATGCGATGGCTGAATGCTTGAAGAATCAACGAAATGGCATGAGAATGCCCATTGTCCCAAGGGAGGACAGTATGGTCTTGTTTCAAATGTGAAGAAATATTTTTCGCGAATATAATTTTGGTTTGCTCTCTGTCGGTATATCACAATAACTGAGTAGGGGAGGATGAGGATCTTGTGGGCATAATTCTGATAATGCTGATACATGGGTATCATATACTGGTACATATGGCATCATTCCTAACCACGGCCCCAGGTCAGCTTCACGGACCTCCGACACTGCGGTCGGACTTCCGCTCGATTATACACAAGTTGAATCGATTTCATGCCGTCTAAGCCACAAGAAATCGCTTTGCTTACAGCGTCTCTCACTGTCGTCTAGGATTCATTACACCACTGAAGCTTCGTTGCCGCCGAGTTTAGCACCCACCGTGTCGTGTGACCCCCATCTGCACCTCTCCCGCCCCCTCTCGCGGGGCATCCAGCTCATCCGTTGCGGATTCGGAACTAAAAATCGCGATAAGACCGTCGAATGCAGTCGGCGCGCTGCAGCCGGGCCCGCTTGAGCCGAGGTGCACACCTGCATGGCGGCCGGCGCTGCGCTGGCTCGCTCTGACCTTGTCTGCCGCCCGCCGGAGCCGCCGTGATGACCGCAAAGCAAGCAAAGCGCCACGCTTTGGCACCCGTCCAAATGAGGAGTGCAGCTCTTGGTGGTGGCGCGCGGCGACGGAGACGGAAAGTCCATCTACGTCAGCCGGCCTGGGGCGGGGCTGATGCTCCACCGCCGCGCGGGCCTGGGGCGGGGCTGATGCTCCGTCGCCGCGCCGGCGCCCGATTCCAACCGGCTGCGGCCGCAAACGTCAGCGATGCGGCTGGCGTACCGGGTGCGATGTCTGCGATGCGGCTGGTGTACCGGGCGCGATGTCTGCGATGCGGCTGGCGTACCGGGCGCGACGTCTGCGATGCAGCTGGCGTACCCGGCGCTACGTTTCCGATGTGGCTGGCGTACCGGGCGCTACGTATCCGATGCGGCTGGCGTACCGGGCGCGATGTCTGCGATGCAGCTGGCGTACCGGACGCGACGTCTGCGATGCGGCTGGCGTACCGGGCGCGACGTCTGCGATGCGGCTGGTGTACCGGGCGCGATGTCTGCGATGCGGCTGACGTACCGGACGGGACGTCTGCGATGCGGCTGGCGTACCGGGCGTGACGTCTGTGATGCGGCTGGCGTACCGGGCGTGACGTCTGTGATGCGGCTGGCGTACCGGGCGTGATGTCTGTGATGCGGCTGTCGTACCGGGCGAGACGTCTACGATGCGGCTGGCGTACTGGCGTAGTGGCGTATCTATCGCAACGCCAGCGGTGCGGCTGGCGTACCGGGCGTGACGTCTGTGATGCGGCTGGCGTACCGGGCGTGACGTCTGTGATGCGGCTGGCGTACCGGGCGTGACGTCTGTGATGCGGCTGGCGTACCTGGCGAGACGTCTACGATGCGGCTGGCGTACCGGGCGAGACGTCTGTGATGCGGCTGGCGTAGCGTCCGCGGCGTCCGCGACGCGGCTGGCGTACCGGGTGAGACGTCTGCGATGCGGCTGGCGTACCGGGCGTGATGTCTGTGATGCGGCTGTCGTACCGGGCGAGACGTCTACGATGCGGCTGGTGTACTGGCGTAGTGGCGTATCTATCGTGACGTCAGCGGTGCGGCTGGCGTACCGGGCGTGACGTCCGCGGTGCGGCTGGCGTGCCGGGCGCGGCGCGCTCGCCGCACCGCTGCTGTAGATTCCCGCGGCGGGGCAGACCCGGAATTTTCCGTGTTTACGGCGCCTGGGGCCTGGCGCTGGCCGCCGGGAGTGACCGGTTGGCTGTGGTGGGTGCGGCTGGGCCTAGCCGCGTGGCTGTGGTCGGCGTCAGCAGAGCCCATCTACGTGCCCAACGAGGTCTCCGTGCCACCGCCGCACACACCGCAGGTCAATTTATCGTCTGTCTGTGACCCGCTCAGACGAATTCGTCGCTGATTTGGCCGCGAATTACCGTGGGCATGGCCGGGTTGGGTCGGGTTCACGCCGTTCCCAGCACCCGCTGGCCCGGCCGCCGACATGAGCGCCGCCCGACCGGCCGCGGTGGCTAACGGCACATGCCGATGCGGGCCGCGCTCCTGCTGCCAGCTGGCGGAAACTCGGTGAACTCATGGTTCGCACGGCGATCGATAGTCGATTATGGCCACTGGCCACCACGCAAGCGCCGTGAGACATGCTGCAACGGCCTGCGCTGAAGGCAGATCCGCTGAGGAATGCTGCTAGCAGCACAGTTGTTTTGTTTTGTGCCAATAGCATAACTGCTCTGCGTGGACGTTCATCTGTCCGTTGTTTTGCTCACTGATCTGGAGCTATGAAATGGGAGGGATATTTACCGCGACGGCGGCCCATTGCCTCTTCTCTTGGGGTGCATTGGATAGATTGGCATCTCTTGTTTCTTTGCCAGTTTTCAGATACCAAAAAAGGCACTGGTACGCCGTCCGTTGTGCGCCTGCCTCTCACCCGATGTCTCTGAACTGCCGGTGTCTGATGACCGACGGTCTCTGTTGCCTACCTCTGGTAACGCACCGTCTCTGTTGCCTGTGTCTAATGACTGGCGGTCTCTGTTGCCTGCCTCTGGTGACTCACCGCCTCTGTTGCCCGTGTCTGCTGACTTGCGGTCTCTATTGCTCACATCTGGTAACGCACGGACTCTGTTGTCCGTGTCTGATGACCGGCGGTCTCCATTGCCTACGTCTGGTGACGCACGGACTCTGTTGTCCGTGTCTGATGACCGGTGGCCCCTGTTGCCTTTGTGCGGTGACGTACCGACTCTGCTGCCCGTGTCTGATGACCGGTGGTCCCTGTTGTCTATGTCTGGTGACGCACCGACTCTGCTGCCCGTGTCTGATGACCGGTGGTCTCTGTTATCTATTTCTGGTGACGCACCGACTCTTCTGCCCTCGTCTGATGACCGGTGGTCCCTGTTATCTATGTCTGGTGACGCACCGAGTCTGCTGCCGTGTCTGATGACCGGTGGTCTCTGTTATCTATGTCTGGTGACGCACCGACTCTGCTGCCCATGTCTGATGACCGTTGGTCTCTGTTATTTATGTCTGGTGACGCACCGACTCTTCTGCCTTCGTCTGATGCGTTGCTTTCTCTGTTCGCAGGCTGGTCGTCGGCCTTAGTCTGGCCATAGCGCTGATGCTGTTCGAACTGCTCGGCTTCTTCCTCGGCATATCCATGTTTATGCCCACGGCAGCCATGACCTGTATCCTTTTGGGTCATCAAAGGTCGGCTGCATTCTGTTCTGCAAGCCATTGGTTGTATTCCGTGTTGGCCTGAGGTATTGGTGGAAGGTGTAATGTATTTCCGGTTTTGAAATTGGTCATATTTTTTAGTCAGGTGTTGATTTTGGAACGCCAACGTGTTACGCATGGACTTAACTACCATTGGGGACGTTGGCGCCCCGACCCCAGTAAGTGTTGGGCATATTGGACTGTTCTGCGTTTTGGGCGTATTGAACCATTGCTGTTTATTTCTAACCCACCTGAAAGTTTATTAAAATTTTAAAGAGATCCCAGTAACCAGCAACGTTTAGGTTGTGATTAGGTGAGTGATGGTACATTCATGATCATTCAGTTGCATTTTTGTCGCATCTATAGTTGTCAGTTGTTGTCTAGTAGCAGACGTCGGTGGTATCTTTTTATAGGGATCGGCTGCTAGCCCTACCCCCCCCCAAAAAAAAAAATCGCCTTTGGCTTTGGTGTGCGCCAGCTGCGTCAGGCTCTCCCAATGCGCTGGGGGTTATTGTTTTTTACAGGGGTTTTCCCTTTGTGGTGCAGTACCTCTGCCAAGCTCTAGCTCAGCATCGGAGCTTGGAGAGAAGAGCGCCGCAAAGCGGTTTTTTGCAGTATTTTGATTCGTAACCAGGTGGAATTGGTGTTGCCGGTAACGCAAAATTGCTTTCGAATTCCCAGCAGGGTAATGTGGTTGCCCTTGGTTTGTGAGCCCTCATGCTGAAGATAACTAAATTAAGACACAATTAGGTGCCTGTGAAAGGAAAATATCAAACAGGAATGTACCAAAAAGAAGATATCAAAAGATATCAAACAGCCATTAGGATGAGTTATGACATGAGGCGCTGAGATTCTGCTGCTAATTTGTCATGTTATTTCTAATGATTGTCTCGCATTCGCATCACTCGATGCCACTTGAGTCGTCACGCTTTGGAATTTGTGTAATAGGCATCGCTTTCACTTTGAGCCACTCACTGCAAGTAAGCTCAGTGGCCTGAGGATGAGATCTTTTCCAGCGGTTTCTCCGCACGTAACGTGAGTGACGAGTCATTGGGATCAATTATCTGTAAGTTGATCTCGTGTGGTCAGCCGGCGCCGCGCCAGCCGCCAACGTGTACTGCCTCGTTACACCTGCTAGCCATGTTCATGCATCGCGGTGAGAGGTGTGGCGAGGTGTGTCGCGTTCTCTTTACAAAGAGAACTATAAGAAGATTCACAGCGCATCGTGAAGGGAAATTTAGATTCGTTGCATATATATTTTATTTGGTTTATCTTGCCCAAGCGGTATGCCGACTGGATGCTGCGTTTTACTCACGAACCCGTACATGCCCCGGGATGTGCCTTGATTAACGCACAATGACCAACTTGCATGAACACCAGTCAAGTCAAGAACACCAGTCAAGTCAAAATCTCCCCAATCACCAACCTCTCAATCAGCTGAGACTTCACTTTGTCTGCTCACGGGTTCTTCACTTTCGCCTGCGATTGTTCTTGGTCGTCTGGAGGCCTAAAGACGTCCAATTTTGTGGGTTGTGTCATAAAACTGTGTCTGTTCGGTCAGTTATGGGCCTTTTCGGGGCACAAGGAGGGGGGAGGGGGGGCATGGCCCTCTGAATCTGCCACTGGCCCGAACAGCTTAATAAATGGGGCCCCGACAGGAGCATGGGGCCCTCCATTTAAATAGAAGCACCCAAGACGCGGTGTGGAGGGCTCGGAACGATCGGGTGCGTCCGAGGAGGTGCGCAGATGAGCCCCAACAAGTGGGGCCTTCCATTCAAATAGGAAGTACCCTAGACCCCGTGTGGCGGGCCCCTGAACGATCGAATGTGCCCAAACAGGTTAACAGATTGGCCTCCGACAAGGGCTTAGGGCCCCACGCAAGTGTCAGGAATTTGAAGGGCCCTCGACCAACGTAGGGGGCCCATGAGCATATTGCGAGTGGGTCGGTAGGTTAACCGAAGCCAACGTGAAGGGCCCCCTGAACAACCGAGAATACCTGGGCAGGTTAACATGTATGGTTCCGGCTAAAGTGTACAGAGGCTTTCGGGCTAATGGGAAGAATCCGTGGAAGGCCACTGATCGACGAGAGTGCCCGGCATGCTAGCAGAGAGGACCGCGACAACAGCCCAGGGCCCTCCGAGCAAGTGCAAATAAATCAAGAGCACCGTGGAAGGCTCCTTAGTGATCGGATTGGCCTTGCAAGTGGACATATAGGGCCTCGGGAACAGCGTGGGCTTCTTTACAGCGTAATGAGCCTTGAAATCTCCCACTCACCGCCCTCTCAATCAGTGAAGAAATATTTTGTCTGTTCCTAGGCCCCTCGCTTTCGCCCGCACTTGGTTGCCTGTTATCCCGAAGACATCCAATGTTGTTGCGTTTTGTGTTTAAAAAACTGCGTCTGTTCAGCCGGCTACGGGCCCCTTCGAAGCCTGTGGGCCCCTTCGGGAGCCAAGGAGGACCATGGCTCCGTGCCCTCCCCCCCCCCCCCCCCTTTAGGATCCACCACTGGCGGAGTCCCGCCGTCTTTGGCCCATCCCCCAGAACCTGTCCCTGAGAGGTCATGGTGCTGGTCGTCACGAAACACCATTCTCCACGACCCACATTTCGCTTACCCTGGGATGGGACGCTCGCTTCCTCGTGCATGCGCACAACTCGGCTGCGGCCCCTGCATGTCTGTTATGGCTGTCCCTGCCACCTAGCGGACTCCAGTGCCGGCGCAGCTGACACCTCTGGTGGATGCCACCTGGCGGCAGGTACCCGAACCAACTACCCCGTGGTGTCAGGTACAGCCGGACCTGCGTCACACCCGACAGACGGCCCCCGTGTCTCCTCCCGCTCACTCGCACAATGTCGGCCGCTGAGCGGTAGGCGAGCCCCGCACGGGGGCGCGTGAAATACTTCACGTGGCATGTCGGAGCTTGGTTGTATTTCTCAGCCAGCTGTAACTCACCTGGCCACATATCCCCCGGAACACTTCTCAAAATGGTAGGATTTATCGTTTGTGGGCAAAAATGACGGTGTTCAGCGTACCTTCGCACCATGTTTAGGCCAGTATTGGATATTGTTCTGCGCCAAGACAGTTTGCCCCGTATAAAAATAAGAAGAATCAGAAAATGAATGGCCAAAACCCAGGACTGCAGGGGGGTGGAATAAAATCCAGGTGATATCACCAAGTCGAGTACCTTTTTCAAGTTGGCATTAGATTCAGACTCATATTCATGTCGACACTCACCCGGCAGTGGGGTTTCTATTGACCTGAAAATTTGCCCAAAGCTGTAGCGTGACCTTGTGATCGCGTTAAAGACAGGAATCAAGGCTGGCGCGCAATGTCCTGCAGGCCCTACGCCTATTACGGATGAACGGAGTTGTAGTGTAGTTGTGGAGTGTAAGGCCATAACATTTTAAACGGTCCCCCTCGGTTTTCGCCAAAACTTGTGTAAAGATGGATTTTGATCTACTCATCACGACAAGCACAGAGGCCGCAGCGCCAATCACGGGTTTTCTAGCAGATCAAAGTTGCGAATGCCGATCTGCATATAAATCAGAATCTCTCGCCAACTTGACGAACCAATGTTGAGTGGTCTCCTCTTGACGAAATCCTGGATCCGCCCCTGTGTCAGTGGCAGATATCTATATCTTTACTCGTCCCGCTGACGAGGTGCGTCTACTATTCACAGCGATAAAGAACAATCAAAACAGTGTGCATATTGGCAATGGGCAACTTCCACACAAACTGAAGTTGTGCCTCCATATCACCAAGGCGACACTTAAAAGATTTAAAACAATAAAGGAAAACAACAACGTAAAAAATTGGTTGAATTTTATGAGGAAAAATTCCAACTGACTCACTTTTCTGTCCGACTGACAACTGACAATTAACCTTGTGTGATAAAATTATACCGATTTGGTCTGTGGAGTATAATGTTAGCCCGAACAAAGTTGCGGAAGGGGGCGACGCCCCCTCTCCTGGTCTTAAAGTTTCGGAAGGTACAAGTACTCCCTGCCTTCTGCCCCCCCCCCCCCCCCTCCTCCCTCCCACCCCCGCGCCCATGATTTCCAGCATAAGAACTCAACGCAGAAAAGGCATAGGCAGGCGGCCTTTCTCCGTTTATCTCAAGACTGCACTAGTACTTCATCTCGGGACGGCTAGATGGCGATACTTGCTGGTCGTCACAAAATTCCAGCGACCACTGAAACTTCATTACAGAGGCTAACGGTCCCAAAAGCTGGCCCACGCAACTCGTAGGACGTCATAGCGTGGGGTGTGTGGCGGTTTATTGACCAGACTGGCGGTGTCACTCCGAATGGTTCGGCTCTCCCAGCATCTGAATGAATGAAGATTATGAGGGCGGAGACCGTTAATTTATTCCGAACGGCTTGCATGCATGGCTCCGTGTTCAGGATACTTGCTAAACATAGCGTGTTGCGTGTACCCGGAACACGCAGACCAAGCTGTGCGGTCCAGTGGCTCGTTGCACGCCTCGACCCCCTTTCGGCGGAGAGGACTGTTGAGCGTCGCACGTGCCGCACAATGCTGCGGCGCAGTCGTCCCGGGTGGACGGTCTCCTGTCAATGTCGGCGTCAACCTCGCCGCGATCCCAGTGGGGTGTTCGGTTGTCTGGGGGCGTGTTCGATGACCGCCTGTTGGTGCGAGACTGTCTGAGGGTGTGTTCAACGACCGCGTGTTGGTGCGGAACTGTCCAGGGCCCCTGTCCTTTTTCTCACGCTGGTTCGAATCCGTCCAGGTTACTTTTACGGACCCCACATCCGCCGGTATTTGGTTACGCCAATGACATTGCGTGCATTGGGAGAGAATCCGACGCTGTTGACTCCCTGCCCGCAGGGGCGTTTGCTGGCCAGCGATCGCTACTTTTGAAAATTAACACGCGTCACTCCCGTTTGGGTGACAACATGACGCCAGGTGATGTGACTCAAGTTTGGATGACAATATGACGGCAGGTGATGTGACTCCCGTTTTGGTGACAATATGACGGCAGGTGATGTGACTCCCGTTTGGATGACAATATGACGGCAGGTGATGTGACTCCCGTTTTGGTGACAATATGACGGCAGGTGATGTGACTCCCGTTTGGGTGGCAATATGACGGCAGGTGATGTGACTCACGTTTGGGTGGCAATATGACGGCAGGTGATGTGACTCACGTTTGGGTGGCAATATGACGGCAGGTGATGTGACTCACGTTTGGGTGGCAATATGACGGCAGGTGATGTGACTCCCGTTTGGGTGGCAATATGACGGCAGGTGATGTGACTCAAGTTTGGGTGACAATATGACGGCAGGTGATGTGACTCCCGTTTGGGTGGCAATATGACGGCAGGTGATGTGACTCACGTTTGGGTGACAATATGACGGCAGGTGAGGTGCTGTTTTCCTGTGCCGTACCCAGTCCCGCTGTTTTGTATTAACTAAAATCAAAGTAACTGAAAATTGAGATGAAGTAATGTACTGGAGGACGACCTAATGTAAAGGGCATCTAGACATTTCACATCATACATTTATTTTTGGTAGTCTGTAAGCATCTCGTGCGAAATGAATTGGGATGGTGCAAAACCAAGGATTTTCCTTCGAACTATCACGGCTACCTTGCCGAGCCTTGCCGGGCCGTGAATTTACGGCGGATGGGAAAACTGGTTACTGAGCTATGACCTTGTTTATTTCGGAGAGGTGAGGTGCTGACTGTTTTGGTAACTGATGCCGCACAGAAATGCTGCTGACATAGTAATAAGTTGCCAGTTTTCATGTACGTAAAATAAATCGTTAAAGACCTCCAGATTTTTCGTCTTCTGACTTGTGTACCCTGTGACTTTTTTAATTTTGGGGGGAAAGCATGGATGGGCTCTTCGTACACATATCCAATAGCTTTTTGAATGCCGCATAACTGGATGCTCGAACATACTAAAAAAAAGAGAAACGTTCAGTGAAAGGGCGACAGCGATGGCCGCGTGTGCCAGACGGACGCCACCGGACGGTCAAACGGCCGTCTGAGCTGGTGGTGCTGACACGTGTGCCAGACGGACGCCACCGGACGGTCAAACGGTCATCTGAGCTGGTGGTGCTGACACGTGTGCCAGACGGACGCCACCGGACGGTCAAACGGTCATCTGAGCTGGTGGTGCTGACACGTGTGCCAGACGGACGCCACCGGACGGTCAAACGGTCATCTGAGCTGGTGGTGCTGACACGTGTGCCAGACGGACGCCACCGGACGGTCAAACGGTCATCTGAGCTGGTGGTGCTAACACGTGTGTCCCATTGTCATGGTAGGCTCCTCTGGAGGGTCGGTTTCAATCTTAACGAGATATCTTAATGGGAACGTGCAATTTTCGTCTGTGTGATCTTGCCGGCTTCGTAGGCACTAACGGTTTGAACCTTTTGAAAGGCTTTAACAGCGCTGGGCTGAAATGAAATGAATGTAGATTATAGATGAGACCATCAAAATTGCAACGTATCTATGGCTGTAGGTCCCAACAATACGCGTGTACCATAATACGCACTTAAATGGATTCACAGTCAAGTATTGTAAAGTCAGTGGAGTTCGGACCTCACACACAGCTTCCACCATGAAACGTTGGAAAGAAGCCCGTCATGTCGGCCCAATGTCGCATGTAGGCGGTCCAAAACGTAAGGCTCACTGCAGCGTAGCCTGACGGCCGATAACCTGACCTGACTGAACCTGACGGACGACATTGTCCGTAACCTTACGAAGACCGAACGACCCTCGGTCTACGTTGGTGCGAGGCCTTTGCGAGCTTCATAGCAGTCCAAAAGTTTTGTGTTCCTGGTTGTGTGACCTTGGATTTGTGCAAGCTCAACAGGAGCAGCTACTTTAGTAAGGCATCGGCTCAGCTTTGATGTCTGCTGTTTTTAGTGCACCAATGTCATTCGCTTATCATAACCATGTTTGTTTTATGTGGGCCATTCATTTTAAATGTTTTGGGATAAATCTGGGATTTGAGCTTGGTTTCCGCTTGTTGAAGCCGCCAAAGCTTGCCACATGGGCTTGGAAACCAGCGCCCAGGGAAGATCTTCAGCCCCACGAATAAGTAAAGTGAATTTATAACTGATTTTTGCTTCCGGTCTGTTCAGCCGCACACGACTACAGAACCTATTTTTCGTACCATGCAACGGCACCACCTATTACGCTTCACCCGGCGCCCAGCAAGTCTGTGCCGTTCCCTGTGCCCAGCTGTCGTGTGTCACTCGCCGCGTGATCTCCTTGACGGCGGCGCGCAGCTATCCTGTGCCACTCGTCAGCGTCGGTGGCGCTGGCCTTCCTGGTGTTCCACATGTGGGACTGCGACCTCTACTGGCTGATCCTGGCGCTCTGCTCCGTGCCGCCGGCGCTCGTCGAGCTCGTCATCGTCATCGGCGTCGGCGGGCTCAAGAGAGGCTGGTGAGGAGCGAGGCTGGCCGTCGCCGCCGCGCCGAGCCGCTGTTTGCGGCCGCCCTGGGGCGGTCCATCCCGGCGGCGTCCGGTTCAGACCTGGCCGGAGATCTGAGCGCCGCCGGCGGTCGGTGATGTCGTGTCCCTGGCGTGCTGGGAGCCTTGACTGAGAATGGGCTGAGAACCGCCTGCCACCGGTCATCGTTGGCTGTCTGTGCGTACATCGCCAGCCGTCCGTCCGTCCGTCCGTCCGTCCGTCCGTCCGTCCGTCCTCGCTCCTTCCGTCTGTCGCTCCCGCCGTCCGTCGCTCCTTTCGTCTTGCCATGAACCCATCCTTTTGTCCTTCTGTTCTTCAGTCCTCCTACCCGTCCGTCCTTCCACCCGTCCGTCCTTCCGTCTGTCCGCCCAGCCACTGAAATAGCGGCGAGGCGGTGCGATGTGTGACCGCGTGTGGGGCGGCCGACGGTGTGGTGTGTGGCCGCGAGTGAGGAGGTCGACGGTGTGGTGTGTGGCCGCGTGTGGGGCGGCCGACGGTGTGGTGTGTGGCCGCGAGTGAGGAGGTCGACGGTGTGGTGTGTGGCCGCGAGTGAGGAAGTCGACGGTGTGGTGTGTGGCCGCGTGTGGGGCGGCCGACGGTGTGGTGTGAGGCCGCGTGTGGGGCGGCCGACGGTGTGGTGTGTGGACGCGTGTGGGGCGGCGGCGCTCGGATGGGACGTACCGCGATCGGCAACATCATAACGCAGGCCTGAGAACGGACCGGGTGGAGACCAGGGCCGCGCGGAGGCGTGCGGTCCGTCACCGGCCTGTGTGTCAGGGCTGTGTTCTCGCCGGCGGGGCTGTATCGGGGCCGTGTTCTCGCCGGCGAGGCTGTACCGGGGTCGTGTTCTCGCCGGCGGAGCAGTGTGGATCGTGGAACGGTTCCGCTGGCGAGCGTGCTCTGTCCTGCGCCGCTCGCATTCACGCGCGTGACCGGTGGGTCCTGTTCTTTACCTCTCAGCGTCACATATGTTGTGGGCGTGTTGCGCGCGGAATCTGGCGGCTCTCGAAGCGATGCAACGCGACGGAATTGGATGGATGCACATGCATTTTGATGCTGATGACGGTGCGACCATAAGTCAGCTTGCGTGCGACGCGTGTGGCGTCGCCACACGCGTGTTCTGCGTGAAACCCCCGAGTTCCGGTGGCTGAGCTCCGCCTGAACGCACCCAGGCGTGGGCTTCGATCTCATACGTGAGTCTGATGAATGAATCTGCCATCGTCAGACGTTGTGAATGGACGTTGGGCTGTCTGAGTGACATTTGTAATCATCCACAGTTTTGGCACTTCTTTCAATGACAGACCTTTCCACCCGGTGGAGGTTAAGTGTGTCACTCCATTTAATTTGTGTTATTTATTTTTGTTGTCATTCATTTCGCACTCCGGTTTCGTTCGGCCGCGAGAGCGCGGACGATTTCATTGTTCAGCTACGAATGGGTCGTAAGTTTAAAATTGGTTTGTGATTACTTTCCGGGGATGCTCGCCTTGTCAATCTGAAGTTCGGGGATACGATGGACGTTTATCTTGATTGGTGGAGAAGTACCACCGGGCTCGCTCGACAGTTCGGACTTTTTCCTTCTGCCCTTTGAGAATTCCCCTGCAGCACGTTATTGGTGTGAAGTCCCAAGCCATTGGGCTCTAGTCACGCTCATTCAGTCACAGCTCGCGGACTCCGATGGTGTCCGCATCCATCTCCCCGCTGCACTTAACTGCGGGCTCAGCGCGGTCCGTGCCGCGCTCCTTGCGGTAGCGGGGCGTAATTCCAGTCATCATTGCGCGGTATACATCACATTATCATCCTGCCACGTACCTACCACTTGATATCTGAGGTATTCGTAACGCTAGTAGAAATCACGCGGTTTTGGTGCTGGGGTCACAGCGCGAACATCCGAGCGGTGCCAAGATATCTGGTCACGTCAGCGCGCGGCGCGAGAGTGATCTGCTTTAGAAGGCATTGTGATGTACCTTCTACAGTCTGCTGTACTGCGTTAGTGCCGGCCTGCACCCCTTGATACCCATGGAACCCGTGCAGAAAGCTCGCTTCGTGCATGGTCCAGCGTTCCGCTGTTTTTGTGTTACCCCGTTTTCTTCTTAAAGGATTTGGTGTACGTGGTATATTTTCCTGAGGACAACGCACCTGGGACATTGTCGTGGGGTATTCATTGTCAGCACATTGTGTCATGCTGCAGCTGCTGGTACTCTGCGCATTGGCGTTGGTTCAGCGGCCACAAGGTGTCCTGCGCGCGCCACGTGGCTGAGGCTGTGGCGTCATTGCCTCTCACACCCCAGCAGGCTCTCCGTTGTGCTGGTGCTGCTCCTTGCTGCCGCCCGTGTGCTGTTATGCATGGTACGCGCGGCGCGTGCGGCAGCAGTCACGTCCGCCGAACTTCGCGTGCTCAATAAACCATTCTCATTAGTTCGCAATGTCTCAGGACTGGTGCTGTCGCCGCTGAAGCTCGGTGGCGGCACACGTGCGATAGCTCCTGTTTCTGGTGGAGCAAACCGCGCTCGGGGTGTTCACATAGCGCCCGTGTTCCCTCTCGTCGGGAAAACCCGCACTCACGTGTTCTCACAAGAAGCCGCCGCGCCTCTGAGCCGTCCCGTTGAGAAGCGGCGTGACATTCGTCATGTCACATGCGGGTGCTTGGTCAGACACAGGCAGATGAGCCAGGACACCCACAGCATGGCATCCGTCATGTCACATGCGGTGCTGGTCAGACACGGGTAGATAAGCCAGGACACCCACAGCATGACATCCGTCATGTCACATGCGGTGCTGGTCAGACACAGGCAGATGAGCCAGGACACCCACAGCATGGCGTCCGTCATGTCACATGCGGTGCTGATCAGACACAGGTAGATAAGCCAGGACACCCACAGCATGGCATCCGTCATGTCACATCTGGTGCTGGTCAGACACAGGTGGATGAGCCAGGACACCACAGCATGGCATCCGTCATGTCACATCTGGTGCTGGTCAGATATAGGTCGATGAGCCAGGACACCCGCAGCATGACATCCGTCATGTGACATCTGGTGCTGATCAGACACAGGTAGATGAGCCAGGACACCCACAGCATGGCATCCTATTCCGGTGCTGGTTAGACGCAAGCAGATGGGCCAGGACAACCCGCAGCATGACACCCTGTCAGGTCACATTCGGTGCTGGCCAGATACCCACACACCAGAGCCGTTTCAGACGTGCACGTGTTGGAATGGACAAGATACAAGTGATGCCAATTTTTAAGCCTGCAGCAAGCAAGGTCATATTACGCTGGAAGGTGCGACATTGCTTGCAACATAGCTCGTGGCAAGGGAACTGGGCAACTTCCTTTCCATGGACAAATTGGGTTCATTCACTAGCGACCGTTGGTTCAGACCTTGGGCGCCACCCGGAGTATTTTACCACCCCGCGGCCGTGTGGGGACTAATGTCCTCTCCCGGTACGTCTGGATTTAATGTCCGAGATCGAAAACATACAACACAACATCCGATAGACAGTCCGATCTGACCCAAAGCGTCGTTCGGTTGACCCCTTTTCGTGGTGACCGGCGGCACAGAGTGCATAAATGTTGCTTAAAAATCCCGAGAATTCCGAGGGTTTCAGGCCTGTCTGGTACCCGCAGGTCATAGAGCTTATGACTGACGCCAAACGAAAGAGCTGTTCGTGTGCGTCAAATCACATCACGGTATTGAAGCAAGGATGCGAGTTGAGGCAGAGTCAAGTCAAGTTCGGGGGTCAGGTCAATTTCAGGTCAGATGGTGTCGTCTTATTTTTCTACTCTTTCATTTCATGTCACCTATACTGGTCACTGGTTTGGAAACATATTAGTTATTGACTTACCCATCACAAATATACGGCACGCGACCTTTTGCTTTCGCACATAAGCTCACCAGATATTATTTTTATCGGTGACCTGGTGCAACCCACCCCGTACAGCACAATTGGCCTTGACCGGTGAACGGTGAAATCAGTCAAAAATTACATCTGATGAGCCAAAATGAGAATGAAAGCTGTAAGATGCTGCCTGTGCAATATAAGCAAAACAGTTGTGTCAGCCTTCTTTGACGGTGTCATAACTCTGGGACTAGGCTCAATCCAATATCGAGAAGAGCTCAATCGGAATGCGTCAAAATAATCTAAGCTTTACCCACTTTTACGGACCACGAATGTTGGTGGTATTTTTTAAATGTGCCACCATGTAAAAAGTCGGCTATTGCACATACCTTGCACGACAAATGTTAGCTCGCATTAGAAGGTTAATGCCGTGCATCCGCTTTAAACGATCTTTTAGCGGGAAACTCGTCGACATTGGGACGATCAATGGAGACGCGCATGTCGGCATATGACCTTGACGACTGCGTGGATGTCATGTTCCTGAGGGCTTCTTTCGAACAGCCATCAGCTCACAGAGCCTGTGGAGCTGAGAATGGTAGCGCCAGAATCATGATGGGATGTTAAGTTAAGATGGTCCGCATCTCTCATCGAGACGTCTGACGTCTCTCTGTCTTCCGGCTAGAGGACTCCACCGGTTGGGTAAACCCATCGGTACCAATTTGGAAGGGGTAACGGGCTGGGTTTGGCACAGAATTTGGAAAAGTGCGGGTATTGGTACAGGTATGGTGAGATGCGTACGAAATGTTAGGTATATGCCCCAAGAAATGCTGTACCATGCTCCCGATGGTGCTTCTTTTAGTCATGATTAGCCCTACCCACACTACTTTCGCGATTGCCAACGCAAAAGGACAGGTTTTTTGTATACATTTCCCTAAACTCTTCCATAAATCAAAATTAAAGCGATAGAAAAGTGTATATGGATGAGAAACGTCTTGGGAATTATTGACAACAGGAATGACAAATGGTGAGAAATGGTTGGCCGGTGAGTATTGGCACAGACTCATGTGTAACCGGTGAATTGGGTGCAGACAGTCTTATCCGTAAATAACTCCGCTACAGACCTTGCGTCTTCCCGAGAAAATTGAAACGGGCGAGCATTCGCTGTGTTTGAAAAAGGCTATAAAATGGTTGGTAAAAGTGTAGATAATTTTCTCTGCTCCTCGATTTAAGATAATTTTCCAAGCATCATTAAAGACGGCTGTTTTTTGTGTTCTTTTTTAAGAATCGCAAGCTTTAATCGTCAGCTACCGGAGAGCTCCCGCAGTAGAACGCTGATCGCTCCGTGGACAGGCCCGTCAGACGGGCAATAACGCTCACCATAACACGTGCACGGCGACCCTCAGGCGCACGCCCGCCCAACTAAAATATTTACTTGGGATGTAAAAGCTCGGAGACGCTTTTAAACTTCGCCACGCGCTATCATTGTTTCATTCGAAAGTCCGTGGTGCTCACTGCGTCCCTGAAACAGCCAGCCTAACCGACCACTCTGCGTGCGCTCGTTACACCACTGCACATCTGTTACAGCTGGCCAAGGTTGGACCGAGGAAAGTG